GCCCAGGGCTTGATTCAAGGCACGGTATGCTTGTATCTCATACCACAGGCTTCCAGGCAATAGTCCTCTACTCCTTGAGTGTTGATCATTATACTTTCTTTTTAGTTCGACCTAATATAAAAAAAATATATATAAAGCAAAATACATCACAGAGACCAGATGCAACAAACAAAACAATGGATATATCTATAAACCCATCAGTACAATTCCATGATTGCCCTTGCAAGCTTTGTAAATACAGACACATGCACTTGTTATTCTGTGCAGTTTGTAAATTCAAGAATTTAATTATTACTCTGCATTACTCTACCAACACCTTGCAGAAAGGGTTAAATGGTCAGCAGAAACTTCAGCTACAATCCGGAACAAGTTGCTTGTTTATACTGGCATATTTCCTAGCTGCAAGGAACGTAATATTAATAAAATGCTAAGGCTGCTACACATACTATTTGGAATAGCTAAGCAGACTTAACATCACGGTAATGTACTTTCTATTAGCACTCAAAAGATCTGAGGACTTATTTTTCTGTAACTATTCTTTGTTGCATGTTGACACTCTAATCTACTTTTGTAGCATGTCAAATATTTAAATGAACATGTCACACATACATCGATATTTCTTTTATCTATTTTGTGGCATTTGAGAAAATGGAATTGAAATGACATCTATGAACATAACATTTCACTGAAGTTTAAGCTGCATACTGAGCACATTACAAATGAATAACACTTGTATGTTAAACGTACTCCTTGAGGAACGCAAATGGCACATAAATAATGAACCAGGCTCCATTCTTTAAGTGTAAAGAGCTGAGTGAAACAACATAATTAATGGATTAACGTTCTAGGGCACAGTCATAATGATTGGTCCTAGTCCTATTGGACATAAAATAATACAAGCAAAATACTGTGTATATGAAGAATACATTCTGCAATCTAACCTTCCATAACAAGTAATGCCAACACATACAAAAATCTAATTAACAAGGAAAGTGAAGGTGTTGCCCATAAAAAACTATCAGATTTCAGCTGTCATTTTCACGAACTGGTTATAAATAAATGACATATATGTCTCCCTACCCTACAAGAAACTGACAAATGTACATAGACGCTGTCCTTCTAAATTTAAGAAAGTATGGGCTAAATGGCGCTGGAGTATACCCCTTAACATAATTCATTATATCTGCAATTCACCAGGGCTATATTGGAAACTAATTGTATGGAATCCTGACCCCTTTGTCAAGCAATTATTTTGCGTCCCTTTGGCAAAAAACAAAAACAAATAAATTACACTTGATTGGTAAGAAACAGCAACATTTCTGTGTTATTGTTCTACCCATTTTATACAAAAAGTCAGGTGCATCCATCATAAAATAATGTAATTAAACCAAATTATAGTAGTATTTTAACAGGGTGTTAACCTAAGAGTAAAAAATGTACAGAAACATACATAAACAGAAAAACTGGCTTATTCTTACATATATAATGTTATTACCCTGCACGTGATAAAAGAAAATATCTGGAAACAAAGACAGTGTTTATTTGTGGCTGGGAGGGTTTAAAAGGGGTTCTAACCTAAAAAGTTACAAAATGCATAGAATTTCTGGCTAAGTTTACACTGAATTATAAGATGTAAGGTTATTGTTATTCGACTGGTACAACCTAGAAGAAAAATTAGGTCATAGGGCTTGTGTAATCTAATATTATGGTTAGACACAGAAATGATGTATTGCCTGGAGACTCCACATATTACTGGTGACTGGCACTTTTCAAAATAGAGGATTTAACTCTATATAAAGGAAAAGGCCTCATGAAAACTATTGACAAGTAAATGAAGTGGTATCTATTGATCTGTCTTGCTACTTGCATGTGCATGAGAAAACAGAAATAATATTACAAACGCAAAATTATATATTTTCAACAACATACACACACACTATATATAGATATATATAGATATAGATAGATATATATTTTGTTCTTACATAAATACATATACAAACACTATTTACTAGTTAAAGGAAGGAAGTAACAAAAATGCCCATTAAAGGGTTGGGAAAGCTATAAGTAAGTAGTGCAAATAGTAAGGTTCCAGTTTGCTGGACTGACAATATAAGAAAACACCTGACTAGCTAAGTGTTTGTGTGTGTCCGTGTGTGTGTATGTTTGTAAAGATTACTGTCATACCAAGATATTTATCTCAGCTAGGACTGAGTGAGAAGCCCATTTTAGCGTGACTGCAGAACTGGGCGATTCAGCACTAAATCACCAGAACAGTCCCCTTTTATTGGCAACAAAGCTAACAGTGCAGTTTGGCACTGTAATACGTCTTGACAAATATTACAAATCCAATACTGTAAAAGTTTGAAATCTGCAAACAGAGTTTTATGGTCTTTTAAAGAAAAACCTTTTTTTTTGGATTGCTCTTTTGTACTGTGTTAACCTTTTTAAACTGACAGATGAAGGGACACGCTTCAAGAGAAATACAGAAGACTTCTAACTATTTCTGACAGGTAATTTTCAACATGGGTTGGGGTACAAAATTTTATTTTGTGTACCTATGCCCTTTAAAACGACCTGTCAAATTTACAAATTCAAACTTTAAAGCCAGACAGTAAATTGAATTTGATTCTGCAGATGTAATAGTTGTCTCAATAAGACAGAAAGGATGTGGCAGGATTGAACATTTTACTCTTAAAGTGAAAGGTGGAAAAATATCACCCAGAGAAATGGCACTACTATCCTTACAAAATAATACATCGAGTTTGACAGCAGTATGCTATGCTATGTTAAGAAATATACTTATGTACAGCATACAAGGATCAATTGGCCACTCGGCATAAATCAAGCTGAAATGAAAGCATAAATAATGTAGGACATACAAGTAGATAAAAATCACCAACAATACAGTAACAGATCAGATAGAGGAGACAAAATAAAGAACATAGTGGATAAAAGACACACATTTTGTCAGCCCGCTGGCTGTCAAAATACCTGAACAATCTGATTGGATGCAGGCTTTGTTCAGGTATTTTGAGAGCCGGCTGGGCCAACTAGCAAGATACAGAAGCTTGGCCCAGTGGGAGATTCCTCCATCCACACAGTTTACTGTAGATGGAGGAATCTGTGGCACTTTTTCCATCTGACCATTGAAAATCTGCAGATAATCTATAGCTCTAGATCTTTCAGATCACTGGTAAATGACTATGATTCCTACATGGACAGACACCCAAAAAATGACCTACTGTCAACCAATCAGGCAAGGAATAGAACATGTACCAAAAATGATGACATATGTTATTTTTCCTTTATATATCCCTAACCCTGAGTAATTCATTTTCTATTATGCCATAGTGAATTTCCGGTAATGCTCCCCAGGCAAGTATACACACTCAGTGATTTATTAGTGCATTCTAGCAAATGCTGCAGCTGTGGTAAAAGCAGAAGGTATTTGCAATCCACTGTAGCCAAGACTAATACAGCTCATCACAGGGTTGCTGGGAGTATACTTCCTAAAGTATGTGCTGTGTAACTTCTAATCTCTCTTTGTTTTGAAGTTTTACATTGATTGGTGGCTGTGAGATACTTCTTAGTACTGTTTTGTTGTTTTTTTTTACAGCAGGCATTCTGTAGGTGAAAGACAGGAAGGAGCATCCAGTGGGGACGTTTTTGTATTCGAGTGGAGTGGTCTGTGAACTATAGCAATGCCTGAAGAAAACTTGAAGTATTGTGCTGTTACGCTATTATTTTAAGACTTTTGGTTAGCGTGTACCTTACGTTCCCACCAACCCCATCAAGATAACAATTGGAGTGCTCCTCTGGCTGCTAAACCCACAGAAAGGGTACAGAGCAGATGGACCTGACGCTGTATCAAACCTGCACTCTATCCCATCTGCAGCTGACATTAGTGTTGTATTTCATGCACTGGGAGTGGGAAGCAAGTGTTTAAGTGAACCACCTATTATATAAAAAATAAAAAGCTGTCACTGGTCACCTCTCCTGGAAATGTTGGTTGCCTGGCTTGGCTGGGTTTCTAACCCTCTTGATTGAATATTGTGATTTACAGACTCAGAACTGGCATGTAGTTAAGGACTTCTGACTTTTAAAACACTTTCCTGATCTGCAGACTGGTTTCAGGTAAGTGATAAGGAAACGATTGAAGCCATTTTCTAGAAATGTTTTAAAACCCTTTTTTTTTAACTCGAGTACCTCTTTAAATAAACAATCTGACATCCCATATTAGCAAGCCTTTTGCTACAATATACTATGGGTTCAGTTCACAAATGTTTGTGTTCATTGCTGCAGAGCTTTATTTTACACTATGTGACGGTAATTTTCAAATCTAATTGGGCTTTTTAAAAAAACAAGTACCTTATCCTAGTGAGTTGGCTTTGAGCCTAGCTTCATTATAAATCAATTTATAAGCAATTACAATAAACTGTTTCAAGCATAATTATTCAAAACACCCATTAAATGTCTTCAAAATAAAAATTAAAAAAACCCACAGTATGTATATATACACACACACACACACACATATATATATATATATATATATATATATTAGAGATGCA